GGGATAAGGTGATGAGGTTTCTCCTGGGGGCAGGGAGTCGGTACTAAGATTACTGCTATTCCTTTCAGATGGTTCTGATCCAAAAACCAAGGTCCACATTAAGAGATGAGGAGACTGATCAGGAAGCTGTGGTCAGGGATCTTGAGTTAAGCCACCAGTTGAATGGAGGAGTCTGGAGAATGAGTGTCAACTGGGCAATTTGCAGGGCTCTCTCTGTCACTCCACCCCCAAGAATGTCTCCATTCTCTCAAAGTTCACTTGGATGCAGATGGCTTCCAAATCCACACACTGGACTCCAAATTTCCCCATTAGAAACATTCTCCTGGAAGTCCTTCCCTTGCCAAGAAACTCAACATGTCAAAAGATGGAATTCAACATTCTTTTCAGCACTCTTCACAAATCCCTCCATCTCCGTGAGTGCCACAATTACTCTCCTAGACAACCAGGGAAGACATCTCCTGGGCCACATGGAGTCTTACCTCTCTGTGGTCCTTAAATACACCACAAGGAGCCCTGTTCATTTCATTCTCCAAAAGGCACTTTGACCCTCAGCCTCTGCTCTTCACTCCCATTGCCACCATACTAGGGTAAGACCCTCATGGCTTCAAACTGAAATTATTTCAAATCTTTAACAAGCCTCTTGACCTGCAGGAATTAGAATGGTTACCCTTAAAGAGCACTTGCTTTGGGCCTGTGCCAAATGCTTGACACGAAAGAGCTCATTTAGCCGGGTGCAGTGGCTCATGCTTGCAATCCCAGCATTTTGGGAGGCCAAGGCAGGTGGATCACAAGGTCAGGAATTTGAGACCAGCCTGGTCAACATAGTGAAACCCCATCTCTACTAAAAATACAAAAAAAAAAAAAAGTAGCCAGGTACGGTGGCGGGTGCCTGTAGCCCCAGCTACTTGGGAGGCTGAGACAAAAGAATCGTTTGAACCCAGGAGGCAGCGGTTGCAGTGAGCTGAGATCGTACCACTGTACTCCAGCCTGGGTGACAGAGTGAGACTCCATCTCAAAAAAAAAAAAAAAAAAAAGAGCTAATTTAATCTCAACAACTGTTATGGTCATCTCCAATTTATAAATAAGGCAACTGAAGCCCTGTAAGGTGGAGTAATTTGTCCATATCACAAAGACAGTAAGTGGCAGTGCTCAGCCTCAGTACAGAACTGTGTAAAACCAGAACTATATCAACTCTCCCAGGTGAGGGGGTTGGGACAAGGACTAGAAATAGGGGGCACTGCTGAAATGTGGGTATCAGAGGGCCAGGTAGGGACTACAGCTTCCAGTCCAGGCAAATAATCAGCAACCTGGACACCTATAGGCATTGAAGAAGGTAGCAAACAGGGAGCAAGTCAGTGAGGAAGCAGAGAGAGCAGCTGGGGGACAAATGCTGTCCCTGGTGAGAAGGGAGGGAGCCAGACACCATCTGACATTAGCTATCTGCAAAGGCATTGGGAGTAGGAAGCAATCCTTGGCAAGAGCCATCCACCGCCTCACACTTGGGCTCCCAGTCCAGACTGGGCATGGCTGTCTGCAAATACTGCTGAAAACTGTTATAATGAAGCCAGGGAAGGCCCAGGAGCTCCCAGGCCCCAGGATGGGACAATAGACTGGTACAGGCCAGCAAGTTGTCAATCTGGAGGTTGACATGGACACTGTCAGAGTCAAGAGCCAGCAGGATGTTAGCCAATAGGTAGCATAGTAAGGGGACAAGATTTCCATTCCTGAATTGTCTATACTCACATTCTCTCTCTCTTTTTTTTTTGTTTTTCTTTTTGAGATAGAATCATGCTCTGTCTTCCAGGTTGGAGTGCAGTGGCGTGATCTCACTCACTGCAACTTTTGCCTCCTGGGTTCAAGCAATTCTTCTGCCTCAGCCTCCCGAGTAGCTGGGATTACAGGCATGCACCACCATGCTTGGCTGATTTTTGTATTTTTAGTAGAGATGGGGTTTCACCATGTTGGCCAGGCTGGTCTTGAACTTCTGGTCTCAAGTGATCCGCCCACCTCAGCCTCCCAAAGTGCTGGGATTACAGGTGTGAGCCACTGCACCCGGCTTACTGACATCCTCTTTTAAGCCCACTCCCCAGTGTTAACCCATTCTAGCCTGCTTCGTACGCATCAATGAGCATGTGGGGTTTTTTTGTTTCCTCTACTCAAACCCAGCTTGTTCCTTTTCATCCAAACTGCCCTCCTGTACCATCTTAAATTCATCACCAATCAAAAGGATTCCATTTGTGTCAGGCTAACTTCCAAACTTCCTAAGGTCACAGAGCATTCTGGAGCTAGAAAGGCTTGGAAAGCATCTGGCCCAAGTTCCTCATACTTGATATGAGCTCAAAGACACTAGGACTTACCCACAGCCCGAAAGCAAGATGGCTGACTACAAGTCCACACCTGACTCCTGTTGCAACATACTGCCTTTTTCCTCACCTAATGTACCTAGAATTGCTCTCTTTTCCTCCTTTCTCATCACAATTCCAAGTGACTCACTCAGTACCTGGCACATAGATAATGTTGAATGAATGCTTATTTGGATTCGATGATCTCAATTTACAAAGATGAACTTACTGTAAGGTGTGAATGACTGAGAGCTATCCCTTAATTCTTCCAAGTATAGTATTTGCATTTTAAAACAATCTGGTGATGGTTTGGTGAAAAAGATTTGGTGAAGTTTCTTTTCACCACATTAGTTGGTAGAAATTTGTAAGACACAAATGTATTTTGGGACACGAGAGTGTTTCCAAAAGTGCCTCAAATCCACACACAGGGCCGGGCAGGGTGGCTCACACCTGTAATCCCAGCACTTTGCCAGGCCGAGGCAGGTGAATCACTTGAGCCTACCAGTTCAACACCAGCCTGGGCAACATGGAGAAACTCTGTCTCTACAAAAAATATAAAAATTAGCCAAGTGTGGTGGCGTGCACCTCAGCTACTTGGGAGGCTGAGGTGGGAGGACAGATTGAGCCTGGGAGGTCGAGGCTGCAGCAAGCAATGATTGCATCTCTGTACTCCAGGCTGGGCAACAGAGTGAGACCCTGTCAAAAAAACAAAAGAAAAGAAAAGAAAAAACAAATCCACACAAGGTACTGGTAGCACAGGCGTGCACCTGGTAGGCATATTTGTGTTCTATGTCAATGCCATACTGTAACCACTAGAGGGAGCTCCAGGCTCCCTCTCCACCACCTCCATTTACTGCCAGAGGATGGGACAGCCGGTTTGTAAGGTCATTTGACTGCCCATAAGGCCTTTCTCTTTGCATCATCCCTTAGGATTCTCTTTTCTCCAAATGCTCTCTAGCTTGGGAGCTGGGTCTTCCCAGTTAGGCTTGGAGAGGCTGGATGAGGTCAGCCTTAGAATAAAATAACTTTGCCTTCTCTCCTCAACCCCACCTTTCCAGTGGGTTAGGAATCAGGGCTGGACTCAGGGATGCAGGACCAAGAAGCTACTCTGTTGACTTTCAGGGCTGTGGGCTGCTCGGGCCTGCCGTCAGTCTAAGGATAAAGAAGCTCTCACGGGACCAACATCACCAGAAAGGGGTTTGTGCTCAAACCCTAGCCTGGCCTCATCCGCCAGCATGTGACCTGGCACCTGTTATGGGTGGCTGGGCAGGAAGAAAGTCAGTTTCCAGGATGCTAGGTCTGGCCATTTCCATCCTACATATCATATCTGTCTTATCACAACACACTAGTCTCGCTGCACCAGAGGGATCTGTGTACTCCACTATCTTCTCTGGTTCCAAGGGAGTGGTCCTCCCCTGCATTCAATTTCTCCCTCCCTTTCCTTCAAGAAAGCAAGCTCCCGTCCCCTACAGCAGCAGCTCTCAGATGCGGTCCTTGCACTAGCTGCATCAGCATGACCTAAGAACCTGTCAGAAATGTGAACCTTCAAACCCTATCTCAGACCTGCAAGCGGGAACCCTACATTCTACAATTCCAGGCTGGGGCCCAGCAACCTACCTTTTTACTCCAAGTGATTCTGATGCAGCTAAAGTGTGAAAGCCACTGCCCTACAGAGTGGAGAGGTGCTGTCTCACCCTAAACTAACTGTGCCTGACCTCAAAGTCAGCGTTTGCCAACTCCCAGAATACTTGGGCTGTGCAAAGTCGTCTCTGGAGAGGCCAAAATAATCTAATGATAATCAAATAGCAGCTAACATGTAACAGTCTATTCCATGCCACCAGGCATGATACACAGCACTTCATACACTTCTTCCTCACGATAATCCTATGAGGCAGGTGCTATTATCAACCCCATTCTACAGTTCATTAGGGTTGAGAGAGAGTGAATAACTAGACCAAAGTCGCACAGCCGACAGGTGGTGGGGGCAGGGTGTGCACAGACATCTGTTGGGTTCTGAAGTCCCAATTCTAAAACTCAATACCTGAGGTTTCCCAAGTGATGGGTTAAGGTGGGGAGATGGGCTTCATGTGGCTTCTTTGATCTCCCTTTGCTCCTAGTTTACACTGGGCCTTTGAACTACTCTCCTGATCCTGCTCCTGCAGCTGGCTGGTGATCATCCCAGGCCTGAGCCCTGCCCACCTCTGCTTTTCCGGGAGCAAGGTCATCGAGTCATCCACATGTCTCAGTCTCCCCTGGCTGCACCTCCAGCCCAGCCTAGACAGGTCACAGTGAACCTCTAGGAAGCAGGGATGAGCTCTAAGAAGCCCAACCTCTAGCCCATCCCACTGCTTATCCCCTATGCCCTAAGCTATTTCAGTCTGCTTGAGTGTAGTCTGCAGAGTACTGGCTCTTGTCACAGGATGACCTGCTCAGTCAAAGCTAACATAAAGTGGTGGTCATTGCTGTGCCTTCACCCGCAGCACGTGACTGTCAGTTTGAAGCTTTGACTACTACCCATCCAAAGGAGCTGACTGTCCCAGGGGTCCCTAAGAGAACCCAGAGTTATCTGATGAACTCACACCCTCCTGAGCAAAAACACCAGAGCCTCCTCCCGCCCTTCCCACGTGGCTCTGAACATCTTCCCCAGCCTCAGCGCACCTGGTTTGCTTTCGTGTTGCGGGGTTTCCTGAGGGCTCACAGGGCTACTGCTTGGGGTTTCCCTGTAGGAAGACGAGGCCCGGAGAGTCACCGCTCCCTTCCCAGTGCAGATTTTTGTAGGATCCATGTCTGAAAAGAAAAGGTCCAAAATTGAAGACTGAATCCAAGACTCCTGAAGGATTAAAGGACAGTTGGTTAGCAAATTGTTACAGCTGGGGAATGAGATGAACCTGGTTACAGCCACGCGAAGTCTTTGAACACTTGTGGTCAATGAAATTAATCTGTGGGTGGTGGAGAGGGGCAAGTTTTCAGAGGTTTACTGTGCATCAGGAAGTTAGGGGAACATGGCGGCAATGGTGAGTTCTGAGTAAATGGATGAGTTACAATATCAGCTGAAAACATTTCAAAATGAAAGCAGGTTTATTCCTTTTATTAAATGAAGTTTAGGTTGGTGAGCAGACTTCTGACCAGTTAGTAAGGCACAGTTCAAGAAAGAGTTTATGAAAGACGTTTCAAGCTTCCAGACCATTCTTCTCATTGAAGACCAAGTTGGCAACTAAGGAAGTTGGGGGGGCGAGGGCAGTTCCATGGAGAACAACTACTCCTTGCAATTTTCCAGTGGGAAAAGGAAAAGCAAATCTCCTTGGATTAGCAAGTCAAGACTCCCGAAATGCTGAGACAGAAGGATATGCTACCTGGCAAGAAAGCTCATGAATGACAGCCTCACTTTTCAAACATAACAAAGAAAACAGCAACAAAAACGACCTGGAAGGCTAAATCCTTCAATGAGTAGTGTCCACCGAGCCTCAGCTGTCTTCACAGGGTCCTGGCGTCTCCTACAGTTTCACTAGGGCCTAATAACAGACGCGGGTCAACTTCGAGAGTTTCCTTGAGAAAGATTTCAAAATACGCTTCAAAAGATCTGAATGCCATCCTGCAGGAAATCAGTCATGGAGGCAGGGCACCGGGGCAGACCACACAGTTCTGGGAGGCACACGCACTGAGTGTTTCTTTTTGTGCAGCTGAGCTATGCAGAACGCCACAGTTTTGTTTTGTTTTCAGACTGCTCACAGCCTAGATCCCTGACCTAAAATTGTCACAATTAGGATTACAGGTTGATGTTCAGGGTGTGCGTTTGGGCAGGATGTGAGTTCAGACACCCGACTCATCCCATTCCCGTTCGAGGGCAGAGAGAAGCAAAGCCTCTTCTCTCCTTGCTTTCCACGCCAGCAGCCCACTTCCAACAACTCAGGGAGAATGATCATTAACGTTAGACAAGAGAATGGACCTGCCTCGTCAGCACCTCTTATATTGAATGCAATGCACAAAACGCACAATGTGTGGCAGGGCAAGTGTCAGCCTTGGAGAGCATCTGACTTATCCAACTCTATCAAGAGGCTAAGTGACTGATGTCACCAAACTATTGGGAAAACTGGTTCATAGTCACTTCAAAAGGATGAGGGGCACACTGATGGATGCAGCCCATCCATAGGTTCCTGGACACACAGCCCAGTTACTTCTGAAAGCACCATTGGATAAAGTACTGTGTAGGCCTCGTGTGTCCCACTTTGTACAGAAGGAAGCGATGAGCCGGAGCTGACATCTGAACTGTACTCCCCCACCCCCTGGAGGGGAGAGGCAGGAAGGGGCTGCAGGTAAAATTGGGGAAGGCATAGGGGATGCTCTGGGATGGCCCGGTGAGCATCAGAGGCAAGTCTAGGTTGGGCACCTAAGGCAGCTGCTACAAATTCAGTCGTTCAGAGGTTCTCTGTGACACCAGGTTAATTCTCAGGGAGACTGCAGTTTTTGCTAAAGTACTGGGAGTTGGACACCTCTAGGGAGAGCCTAGGATGTCCATGCACCTCAGACCCATCCCAAAAGGAAAGCTGAGCCTCCAGACTGACCCTTCTCCTAAAGAAAAGAGGGGCGAGGCCTCTGTCCTCAGTTCTTCCCCACGTTCGCTGGCTCCCAGGAAAACGCACACAGACATTCACGTACGCAGAGGAAGTAAGGAAGCAAGCTGAGGAAGTGAGATGGAATGCCTACTAAACATGCAACGATTCAGCTCAAAGTGCGTTAGAAGAAAAGAAGAAAGGAAAACCATGCCATGATCCGCTCACAATTACAGAAAATAAACCAACCCAAGGAGATACCTGTAGGGAGAACTAGGCCTGAGGCGTTTTTCACTGTCTTCACAGGAATGATTTTAACAGCAGAAATAGAGCGTGCACGTAAAGGGTCGGCAGTTGCTGAAAACACAAAAGGGTAAATGGTGCATCCAGAAAGAACATTTGGGAAACACTCAGGCAGTTGAGGAACTGGGCAGGGACAATAGGAGGAAGTCGCCCACACAACAAGAACAATACAAAGGGCAGTAGATGCAGTAATTAAAAATAACCTGCTTTCTCTCTTTAGAGTTCTAGGCCAAGACAACAGACCCCTCCCCTCCAACCATCACCCAAATACAGCTGGTCAGTGTTGATCGGTGCCTCCTGCCACACCAGGAGCTTGCCAAGGCTCTGGACAAAGATTTACAGAGGCACACAGATGGCCTGGCAAACAGAGGAAGGGGAGAGCACTCAGGGTCCACAGGGCCTCCTGGGAGCATGCTGGGGAGGGGGTTCCGAGGAGGAGGGTGGTGGCCCATGGGCTGCAGATGAGTGCAAGAACGAAGGAACAAGATCATGAGTTGCCTGGTCCCTTCAGCCATCAGAGCTATTTCCGCCATAGCATAACTTCTGGGGTCTTGTGCCTGCTCCGACAATTGTAGCCCTCTGGCTCCAAGCAAATCAGAACGTCCATCTGTTAAACAGCAGATGGCCTTGCTCAAACCCACCCTTTCCTGGTCAGGAGGTGCCAAGTGTCCAAGTGCATATGTAGTCTCTGGGGCAGCACCCAAGTGCACAGCCCAGGACCCCGATGCCCGGCTGAGCTAAGGCAGAGCAGGGATGCCTGCCTGGGACACAGTGAAGGCCACCGCTCAAACATCCTGGGTGCTCAAACTTATCTATCGGCAGGGTCTCTGGGCTCCCTGCCTGCCTAGATTCTGTAATCTCATGGTAGGCACGTCCCCTAACTCTCCTTACACTGAGCCTGTTGTGAGGCCTCCCCTCATCCTCTCTTTTAAGGGCAGCACATAAAGAGGGATGGGAGCTCTGTGTGAAGGTGCCAGAGTCAACTGTGGCCGCATATCTACAGAAACACAGCGGGTGGGGCTGTCTGGGAACAAGACCACCACTGCAGAGTCAGCATTGGTGAGCCTGTCAAGGCAACAGAAGGGAGGCATGTCGGCCAGGGACAGTGCGCCTTCCAGTCCATCCTGCTGTCAGCTCACCTCCTGAGGCATGAGGCAGTCACACGGCGCCTGGTCATTAATGACTAGGTTGCTAACGACGCTACTGCATGGATTAAGACACAAATGTGCTCTCACAGCATCTTCCTGTCTGCTCCACCTGGGAGATGGGCTTGGGGGAGACTTTTGTAACCATTTTCAGAGGAAGAAGCAAGAGGCTCAGCGAACTGCTCAGGCTCATTCAGTTCTCAAGCAGAGAGGCTGAGACTGGAGTTCAGCTATCCCAGCTCTGGTTCAGTGACCTCAGGCCACCCTGATGCCCTTCAGGTCACCCCTGCCTGCTTGTTTGCAGACAAAATTGAGTCTCACCAAGGAGAGAGTGGGACCCATTCCACCTGCCACCCTCCCCCACATGCCTTAACTCTCTTGTATAAGTGAGTTCACATGGATGGGGTCAATGACTCCACAGGTTTTAAACTAATAGGGCCCCCACCCTCTCCATGCTCCTCACTGGATGCTAAACACATGCCTGCAGCCACTCCACAGGCACTGCCCCTCAGAGTTCCCTAAGTGCAACTTGGTCGAGACTGTCCAGGGCCCCACACCATGGGTGCAGAGGGGCGACCAGGCAGGGAGGCAAGAACAGGAGCATGGCAGGTCCCCTCCGGCCACCAAGGAACCCACCCCCACACCACCTGGGCCCTGTACCCCAGCGCCTCCTAGTCTCTGGACATACCCTCTATGGCTGGTTCCTCTTAGTTCACACTTTGCCTTGTCTTAAAAGGAACACTCTGTTGACCCAGATGGAAATTACACAGATCAAAATGCCAAATTGTTTGAAATTATTCTTTGAGATGCATCTTGACTTAAATGCCCAATGCAAGGATTCTGGCCCTTCCTCTTATATACCATAAAATTTAGCTGGATGAGCATTCATTCCAATTCTGAATTTGAAGCAGAAATAAATATGGCAGAGCATAAATTCCCTCATCTTGTAGATAAGGGAACCCACACCCACAAAGATAAAGGGCCTCTCACGATGTCCTGTTCATGGTGGCAGAGCTGGGACTTGAACCCATGCCTTGTCACTCCAGCTTGAGTGTCCATCACACCACTCAGTAAAAGTGGTACCGCGAGCCCCGTCGCCAGGCTATCTGCACAGCCACACTGAGGTCAGGATGAAAGTCTCCAGGCCAAGCAGGACCTCAAAGGTCATTCATCACATCCGTCATTCATTTCACGTTTAAATCTTTTATCCTAAAATTTTTAAAAACTGAAACTATGAGAGGATGTGCATTAAATTAATGCCACTGAAATAATTTATTTTAATGATTTAGGCTCTTACCTTAGGGTCAGGACTGTGAACACATCACTGTTTATTATAGGTGAAGGTGAAAGGCTGAGCAAGGGATATTTCAGGCTGATAAACGCCATCTGTACCAGGCATGAAGTATGCATTGGTCCACGTGCCTGATCTGTCATTCACAGCATCCTTGTGTGCTAGGGAAAGTTTTTAATACCTCATAGTGGGAAAATGGCAGCCTCAGACTCCCGAAATGCAAGAACAGGCTCCAGGTCTCAGAAAATCAGTGTAGGGAAGAGGTCCCCAGTTTAGGGCTTGGTTAGGCCAATGGTGTTCGCACCAGGCAGATGGGATGGCCCCGGCCTGACATACTCCACACCTTTAGAAATGCTTTCCAGTACCAATCCAGACTTCTCTCCAAGAACCTTACCTTTGTCTTGACCATTGCTGCCAGGTGCCAAGCCATTCACCACAGCTTTGGAACTACCATCACATTCTGCAAGAAAGAAAGAGAGCATGAAGTTTGTGAGTAAACTGCCCCAGCACTTAGTGAGTCCTGCATGGCAGAAGGTGCTGGGGTCAGAGTCAGGAGGAAGCAGAGGGGTCCTGCCCAGATACTTTCAGACCTCTAGGCCTCGGTTCCTAAGACGCCCTCTGTCGAGAATGCCTCATCCTCCCTTCTCACCTGATGGAAATTCCACGCATCCCTGGGGCTCCCCTCAGATGTCATGTCCTCTGTGTTGGCTGAGACTTTCCTGAGTTCTGCTCAGTTACAGAAGCTGAGACCATCCCTGCTCACCTGCAGCCTAAGCCCCACCCAGGTCCCCATCCCAAAATAGATAGACGCAGGCTGAGGAAGGCAGGCCGGCAGGCCCTGTCGCCCTGGGGCATGTGTGCTTGGAGGAACCCCTCCAAGCCCAGAGTTAACCAAGCTACAAACATAATCACAACTAGCTATGGGTTTTTAAACACTGACTTGCCCAGGTCTGAGGATCCACACTTAGCACTGCATAATTAGCATCTCATTTTATCCTTAAGATCCAGACCTCCAGAACTAGGAGTTAGGAATGCCTATTTTATAGATAAGAAAATTGAGGCAGAGAGGATTCCAGGCCTGCCTGAGATCACTAAGCTGAAATTTGAACTCTGGTCTGCCTATCTCACAGCTCATCTTCTTCCTCCCCAAATGGGATAAACATTTGGGTTTCCTGATATATACATACATACATATGTGTATATATATATCCTATTTCTCCAAATGCTGGGACTGAAGCTTAGTCCCACACCCCTGTAATTCATTAGGCTGAGACCTAAGTCACCTTACCTAGGCCCTTAACAATCAGCCTCCCAAAATGGGGGTCGCCTGCTATAAGCCACACTGACAGGCCAGTCTGGATACTGCCAGTGGCCATTCACGAGCAGGGCCACTGCCCCACCTGGTGCCTGGACTTCCCCATGCTGGCTCCACAGGCTGTGGCCTGTTAATTGCCCACACCCACCTATAGGTGAAGGCTAATTCTTCTAGATGTCAGAGTCTTCCTTGAGCTCTGATTTCTGAGATGGGTGGAAGAAGGGTGCTGGTGAGAAGGCCAGAAATCCAAGCACCTGCTCTAGTTCCTTCTGTGATTGTAGGCCTTGCTCCAGGCCTCCCCAGGCTAGTGTGGGGCAGCCTCTGAGCTACCAGCAGGCCCAGCCCCATGTTCTTCCTTTCTTTTAATTAAATGTAACAACCCAGCTTGAAATTTTGGAAAGGTATTTAAAAATTAGTAACTCCATCTCCCGAAACTCAAACCTCTGCAGCACAATGTTGGTGTCCAGCTTCCTGAGTTTGATTCAGCAACAGCAACACTAGGTGAGTGATCCCAGCCATATTATTAACCCCTCAGGGACTCAGTTTTCCCATCTGTGTAATGAGGGTGGCAAACCACGCCCCACCTGTGAGGGTTTTCCAGGAGAATGTAACAAGATCACACAGGTAAAGCACTTCACCTGCTGACTGGCAGCCCAGCCCACACTTGGAATAAAAAGAATCCACCATTTTTACACTGCTCTTTCCACCAGCGATTAAAACACATATTTCCCATGTAGCTACTTTTCTCCTAATGACCATTTTAATAGCGGCGTAATATTCCATCAAGTAAATACACATAACGTACTTACTCGTACCCCCCACTTCATGTGGGTGATATTTTGTTTCCTTGGAATTAAGATAGAAATTCCCAAGAGTGGGATCATCGGGTCAAAGGCTCCAGAGTTTCCGAACTCTTCCTAGGCAATGCCTCCTTCCAATCCCCCACGTAGAGAGAGAGAGATTCTGGGGAGAAGTCTCCTGGGCTTTTCCACACCCATACCCTTCTTCCAGGCCTCTCCCTTCCTCCTTCTCTGGCCCTTAATGCCAAGAGTAGTAAACCAAAGTTAGGCCAGTTCTGCCACTGGATGAGAAAGTAGCTTTAGGCTACAGAGAAAAAGTTTAAAACAAAATAAAGCCAAACACCATGGCCTATTTTAAATGACAACAAAAGCAAAAAGCCAAAGAGACAAAAATGAGTTATGAAGCGGAAGCTACTGGCAGTACCTGAGCCTGCTTAGAGGGGAAAAGGTGCACGGCCTCTTCGCACGCAGCAAAAGCACTCAAGGAATTGCTGAGAAGCCAAGTCCCCGGCTTTGCAGGGAGGAACTCTGAACTCATAACAGTAAGAGCCCAAAGATGAAGCCCTTGCCATGCCTTGGACACAGAGTCCAGCACTTTAAAAGCACTGCCTCAGGCCAGGCACGGTGGCGGAGAGGGGCGGATCACCTGAGGTCAGGAGTTCGAGACCAGCCTGGTCAACATAGTGAAACCCCGTCTCTATTAAAAATACAAAAAAATTAGCCAGGCGTGGTGGTGGGCACCTGTAATCCCAGCTACTCAGGAGGCTGAGGCAGGAAAATCACTTGAACTCAGGAGGCAGAGACTGGAGTGAGCCAAGATCACGCCACTGCACTCCAGCCTGGGTGACAGAGCGAGATTCGTCTCAAAAAATAAATAAATAAAAGCATTGCCTCACTTAATCCTCACTAAATCCCAGTGAACTGGGGCTTTTATTATGTCCATTTTGCAGAGGAAAATGCAGAGAAGGGTCCACCACAGGCCCAAGACTATGCAGCCAGTAAATAAAGAGGTCAGGGTGTGGGCCTCAGCTATTCCACCCCAAAGCCTTCCTAGGTCTTAACTACATACTGTCCTGCTCAGAACTTGGCTAAAAGGATATTGTATGCAAATAAATGGAAAAGGGTGATTTTTAATCCACAAAGGTCACTGACAACACTCGAGAAATACTGGATTGGGAGACCCCTGAATGAGATATCCACAGGGTCATCTTCCCACCCCACAGCCTGCCCCACCTGCAGGTCTCAGGAGGCTCCAGGGCATGCTCAGTAGCCTAGGTGGGGCTTAATCTCCAGATGGAAACTTCTCTGCTCCAATTCTGGGTTGGAAAGCTGACAGCTCTTGGCTGCATGATAAGCAGGGATCTGTTCCCATCTCTGTCTTCCCTAACCCACGTTTTCTACCTCAGCTCAAAACTAAAAATACTCAAAACTGATTATTTCTTTAGGTCTTGACTTTTACTACCAAAGGCAAAGCAAAAGAGGGAGCAAACTGCTCTACTAGCCTGGACGAAGGAAGCATTAGATTAGTTCACATCCTGGGGCAATTATGGCCACTCAGTTTACTTTTGCTGCAGTCACTCAGATTAAGAAATGCCATGGAGGTGTACACATATGTCAAATTTTATCAAGTTGTATACTTAAAATATCTGTGGTTTATAGTATGCCAGTTACATCTCAATAAAGAGAGGGCTAATGTGCATGTAAAGTGTATAGCACAGTTCTTTGGCAATAGTAGTAGGCACTCAGAAAATCATTAACCATGAAGGTGATGATAGTCATGATGACAACTTATGACAAGGCTTTGGCATTCACCCAGTTTGCAAAAAATAAAAAATATAATGCCAGAGTGGGGCCTTTGGGGTGCGTGGGAAATCTGGGTAAACGGCCCAGTTTGGTAGATGAGAGAAAGACGAGTTTAAAATGACTTACCAGAGCTCATGGTGGTGGCAGGACAAGTCGTCTGCAACTGGGGCTCTGAACTGCTCTGTAGAAAAACAAACACCACACAATGCAATTGATGAATGGCAGGTTCGCGATAAATCCCAACGGTTAGTATTAAAAATGCAAACACTGTAACCCTTGATAAAACAGAGCTGAACCAGGAGTCACCTGGCCAGGCTTCTGGTTCATGGTCACCCACATATTATTGTGACCTTGGGCACATCACTCAACCTCACTGGTTTCAGTTTTTTTTGCCCATACTTGATGCTAATGTTATCTGAGATCCCTTTCAGCTCTAACATTCTATAAAAAAAACCTCAAGCTACATGAGTGCACGTGGTTTAAAGAGAGGGTAAAGGAAAGGGAAAAAACACATTTTAGGAGAAAGAGGTAAAATCATGACACAAACTGATTTGAGAACTTACTGATCATACTGAATGCTCATCTATAGCTTACTATGCACAAGGAAATGTTCTAAATGCTTTAAATATATTAATGCATTTGACCCTCACAACCCTAGGAGGTAAGCACTAATATCATGTTAGTTTACACAGATGAGGAAACCGAGACACAGACAGGTGAAGCTGTGTGCTTGCCGCAGTGGAGGAGCTGATATTGGAACCCAGACAGCCTGACTTTCTGGCCCACATTCCTATGCACTGTGCTCTACCACCTGGAGGTGGGAACCAATGCCTGATGCTCAAATAGATAACCCCTTAATTTAGTAGGGTCTCAAAGAAAGCTTAAATTGTACTGACAATGCCCTAATATATATCTAGATCTTTTATTGAGTTATAGTTTGCATACAACCGAATATATCCATTTTAATTTTACAATTCGATGCGTTTTGACAAATATATACATCCTATAACCACCACCACAATCACAATATACAGCCTTTCCATCACCCCAAAAAGTTCCCATGTGTATCTCTACAGCCAAGTACCATCTCAGGTCCCTGTTAACAACTGATCTGCTTTCTGTTACTATTGTTTTACCTTTTCCAGGATTTTATATAAATGGTATCATAGTATAGGTAATTCTTTGCATCTGGCTTCTCTTGTTTAGCATAACACTTCTGAAAAGCAACTGGTTAGATATGGCTGGGTCAGTTTCTGGACTCTTCTATTTCAGTGAGCTGTCTTTATCTAATAACTCACTGTCTTGATTACTATAGTTTTACATAGCCTTGAAATCAGGTAATGTGAGTGATAGAGTTTGGATATTTGTCCCTGCCCAAATCTCATGTTAAAATGTAATCCCCGATGTTGGAGGTGGGCCTGGTGGGAGGTGTTTGAATCATGGAGGTGGATCCCTCATGGCCTGGTGCTATCTTTGCAATAGTGAGTTCTCACAAGACCTGGTCATTTAAAAGTATGTGGCACCTCCCCCACCCTTACTTATGCTCTTGTTGTGTGACACTCCTGCTCCCCCTTTGCCTTGCACCATGATGGGAAGCTTCCTGAGGCTTCCCAGAAGCCGAGCAGATGCCAGCACCATGCTTCCCGTACAGCTAGCTTACAGAACTGTGAGCCAATTAAACCTCTTTTCTTTATAAATGACCCAGCATCTGGTATTTCTTTACAGCTGTGCAAGAATGGCCTAATACAGTGAGTCTTCCAACTTGAGTTTTTTTTCCAAAATCATTTTGGCTATTTTAGGTCCTTTGCATTTTCATATAAAGTTTAAAACCACCTTATCAATTTCTACCAAAAAAAGTCTGTTCAGATTTGAACTGGAATCATGTTGAATCTGTGAAAAACTAACATTTTTAACAATATCGAGTCTTCCAGTTCATGAGTATGACTTATCTCTCCCCTTATCCAGGTCTTCTTTAATTTCTCTTGGTAATGTTTTATAGTTTTTTCAAAGTACAAGTCTTGTACATACTTCGACTAATGAAGTCTTACTGAACACATCTGAAGGTCACACAATCTGAAAAACAAGTCCTTGGGATATGCAGAACCTTGATACTTCAAGTGTGGTCCACAGGCCAGCAGCATTCGCATGAGCTGGGAGCTTACTGAAAATGCAGAAGCGGCCAGGCGTGGGGAGTCATGCCTAGAATTCCAGCACTTTGGAAGGCCAAGTTGGGCAGATCACCTGAGGTCAGGAGTTCGAGACCACCCTGGGCAACATGGTGAAACCCTGTCTCTACTAAAATACAAAATCAGCTGGGTGTGGTGGTGGGTGCCTGTAATCCTAGCTACTCGGGAGGCTGAGGTAGCAGAATTGCTTGAACCTGGGAGGCGGAAGTTGCAGTGAGCCTAGTTCGTGTGTGCCACTGCACTCCAGCCTGAGTGACAGAGTGAGACTCCATCTCCAAAAAAAAAAAAAGTAAAGAATATGCAGAAGCTCAGACTCCATCCTGTACCTACTGAATCAGAATGGGCATTTTAACAAAATTCCAGGTGCTCTCTTTGCATTTTAAGGTGTGAGAAGCAAAGATGCAGAGGAAAGCTCCCGTTCACAAATTCTGTAATAAGGATGTGAAGATACGGTATGAAGGTCTGCAAAAGGAGACATGCTTTAGCTTCTTTTTTTAAAAAAGCTGAAGTTGGACACTGATTTCCTTTCTGGATGGTTGCTTTGCTTACTGTCCTTGTAATTAACAGAGTAGAATGCTAAGGATGAAAAGGAAATCATCCTAAGTCCATCTCTGCAGCCCAAATCAGCGGTAACTTTGCCTCTGTCACTGTCAAATACATCTGAGACTATCTATGACCTTCAGTAGCTGTCCACACAGCCAGTTTTCTAAGCTGTGGAAACATCTGTTCTTTCAATTGAGAAACACACAAACTGCTATTATCTGTATGTCCTCATGTTTTCTAATCCTAATTTTTTGATACCTTAGTTTGTCTCCCAGGATCAAAAGGGTTGTTGTGATACCATCCAAATGCTTTTATTTTATAAATAATTTTCATGAGCAATTGTATTATGTTAAGGTTTTTATTCCTTATTTTTTTCTTTTCTTTTCTTTTCTTTTTTTTTTTTTGAGACAGGATCTTGCACTATCACCCAGGCTGGAGTGCACTGGTGTGATCGCGGTTCACTACAGCCTCAACCTCCTGGGCTCAAGCAGTCCTCCCACCTCAGCCTCCCAAGTAGCTGGGACCAGTTGTGCACAACCACACGTGGCTAATTTTTTAAATTTTTATTTTTTGGAGATGGGGTCTCTCTATTGCCCAGGCTGGCCTCAACTCCTGGCCTCAAGCGATCCTCCTGCCTCAGTCTCTAAAAGTACTGGGATTACAGGTGTGAGCCACTGCACCTGGTCTTTTCTCAATTTTTAAAGCAGTATTGAAGAAATCGTCTTGATTCAACTGTGAAGCTATCTTAACTGAAACTATTTTCATTCTTTTATGAGTCCTTTCTAGCCTCTAGATACATAAATAGCATGTACACTGCTGTAAACATACTATCTGGACAGCTTTGTGTTCTAATTTTTAAATCAAATATTTCATGAACATTTTTCTAGGATTCTACATAGTCAGCATATCCATCATTTTAATGGCTGTATTTCATTGTAATAACACTCCATAATCCATTTACCAATTTCCTTTGTATAGCTTAATTCATCGTAATTTAAAAAACAAGTACAAAGTACACAGCATTCTTAGGCTGGAGAAGAAATGAATGGAGATGTCTTATGAACCAAACAAAAAGGGATACCTCAACTCATACATGATGAGTAATCACTGTCATATGCAGGTAGCCCTTTGCACATTTCACATTTCTCAATATAGAAACTACTAACTTCTAAGTGTCAGCCCCTCTTACTTACAAACTGACCTAAAATAGACATGGTCAATCTTCAAAATATTTAACCATCATTTTGCCACAAATGTCCACCAACTGAAGCAGACACCAGTTGTAGCACTCTCTGGGAGGCCCCTCCCTGTGCCTGCTATTAACCATTTAATGGCTGGATGGTTAGAGGGTAGAAGGCGAATGGATCCTGGGTGTTAACAGACTACTTTGATATTTTAAGACCTAGTATGACGATAGTACGTGACAATGACAATGCACAGGTGAGTACCAGCTCTTGCACACTAGGACTTTTTGAGTAGCAGGTTCTGTGGTGTGTTCACTCTGGTGATTAAATCTCCAGCAGTTGATACTAACAAACAAGGACATTTTAAAATAAAATTAAAAGTGCTGAGGATGAACGGGCTGATTGAAGAAAAGGAACTGCAGCAATGGCAGCAATGCCAAGGACAGTGCCCTGTGTCCAGTCCTCCCCTGTGGTGGCAACAGCAGCAACGTCCTATCCAGACTATTCCAGGGCCTGATTCTGGCTCTGATCCCAGCCAGCTCAGCCTCCTGGAATTCCTGCCCCAGTTCTGAGTGCAGTTCTCCAACCTTCCATAAACTCCGTGAACTACCCAAGATCTTGCCAATAAATCCCTTTTCAGTTTGAGTTCACCAGAGGTGGTTTCTGGTTATCTGCCACCCAAGAACTTTGACCAGTAGAAGATGGGAGGGAGAAGTCTCCAAGGTTTCATCTGAAGAGGAGAATCTTCATTCCTGTCTCCTGACATGAGGCTGACCAGATCTGAATCCCAAGTGGCTTGGCAGTGGTTGTGTCTCTACAACCTTAAGTGCTCAGAGCCTGGGAAGTGAGGATGCATCCATGAAACTACACAAACTGAGCTTGACCAGAACACTGAAAGCTTTGAAAATCATAGTCTAGTCCCTGCTGTTTATTTAGAGATAATAAGGGTCATTACAATCAGATGAGAACTTGAGAGTTTATTTTACATAAAAAACCTCTAACACTTAATATTTATTTAAAAACTAAGCTGTAAAGAGCCTGATTTGGTTGAGTACATGATGGCATGACTTTGGAATGTCTCTTACAAGTCTCCCCTCCAAATGAGCCAGGCACCGTTGGGTAAAAGCCAAAAGGACGAACAGTGTACCATCTAGTGGCAAAATCAGACAACTACAAGTGGGCAGTTAATTCCCTTTGTGAGTTGCAGGAGCCTATGCAGTGTTACAGCTTGGGTGTGCCAGCGGGGGGTCAAACCACCATTCCACGCT